AATATATATATATATATGTGTGTGTGTGTGTGTATGTATGTATATATGTGAATGTATGTATGTATGTATGTATAATGAACATAGTTTTCTATAAATGATCAAGGAGACAAGTTTGATGTCTCAAGTTAGCACTATATGCATCAGGAATAGATGCATGGTAAATACGAAGGGCACCGCGCTCTGTTTTGATATCAAACCAGCCAGATAATTAGATAGAAGCAGGACAGCAGTCAACAAGCGGGACCCTTGTAGCACAACTAGTAAACGGCAAGACAAACCTGCAATTGTATCGGAAGTGTCAGTGTCCATATCTGTCACTGGAGTGGGAACTGATGATTGTACAGCCGCCGGTTGCTTGCCGTGTGCCTTACTCGACTGTTTCTCTTGTACCTGCCCCGCATAGCTACTGCCTGCCATGTCATCTGCGATAGTTCCTTCCTCAACACTTTCGTCTATCTGATTATCACCAATGAGTGGTGGAGAGCTGTTAGCTTTTTGCATGTTCGCACTGTCCTCCGTAATAACTCTTGGGTCACTCATAATGTTTGCGTATGCGAGATTGTGAGTACATGACTGATATTTAGCATCGCAATCGTTTATTTTTATTGATGTACATACAAGAGGGACCTTCAGAACAAACTATTGATTTTCTTCGGAAAATTCGACAATTTCTCTAGAGTAGAGAGAGGGGGCCATGCTATCTGTGGCAAAATATTTATATTAAAAATGTCCCTTTCTCTGTGCGAGTCGGATATGCTTTAGAATGTTCGCTCACTACCAATTACTATACCTTTACTTCTATTCTAGTGCCGAGCGTACGAAGTCATATTCCTACTGTAGTTCTCATAAATCAGCTATATAGATAGTCTCAATAATAATTCTCTTGTCCAAATGTATTAGCACGCCTTGTCGTTGCACTTCTTACAAATCGATTGTACGAATCGAGTATACCAAACAATATGTCCACAACTTACCCACCTATTCTCGGCTAGCAGAAAACCCAGAA